AGAGAGAGAGAGAGAGAGAAAATGGGGGATTCAGCCTGGCTTCGAACAGGCCATCACTTCTAATTTGTCAGGCGGAGGGCGGGAGGGGAGGGGGTGGAAGTAATTCACCGGGCCGGGTAATTTATTTGGTCGATCGCGTTGGTCAAATGCCAATACACGGCGCAGAGCCCGGTTTCCTGCGTTTACACGCAGCCACGCGGTATATAAATAAGATTATTAAATTCCTGTGCTTCTTCCGTTTCCGTGATTAACGTCGAACATCCGGGCAATCGAATACCCCCGGCAATGTAATTCGAATCTCGTGTGCTGTGACATTTTTTTGCATTTTGCGAGGACTGCAATTGCTGCGACTATGATGTTAACAATTCGAAATTTCATTCTCATTGGACTTTTTCTTTTTTTTTTCTTTTTTTGTCCAATACTTAGACCAGCCACGTTTCAAACCTGATCGTTTTGGAAAAAGAAAATATATACGATCGTTGGGCATCGACTTTCAAAAATGGAAAACCATAAAGTAAGAGAGCAACTAATGAATAGCCTTATCTAACTCGGTCAAATCACTTTGAAGCGATTAACACCTATCGAGCTAACATCGACAACTGGGAAGTTCAAAGTCGTGCAAACTGGCTGGTCGATTCTGAGAAGCGCGTGCATGTTTCCAGATTTCCGTCTTTTGATCAGCAAATTAACAGTTGGCTCGGCGTCTCTGTAATCTTCGTGCTCGAGTCGAAAAGCAGTGGCAGAGAGAGAGAGAGAGAGAGAGAGAGAGAGGATTAACGAGTCGCAGATGCAGATCAATGACAGAGTTGGGACCAAAGGGAAGTGGCTTCGCATTCTTCGACCACCCTCTATGTCACGACACGTTTGTGACACGTCTGTCGCACATCGAACATGACACCAAAGCAAATGCTTGTCAATCCATGTATAATCCGCAGAATGTGCAAAGCTCCTGAGTCTACAAGCTGGTTTCCAGGCTTCGGAGCAAGCGGACAAAATATATCAAGATAACAACAATTTCTACTACAGAAGACCTAACCTAACTATCTAAACTAACCTAACCTAAACGTTCATTCATTTCTAAACGAAGCGAACACCTCTACGATCTTCTATTATATTTATGTAAAAATGAAAATATATGATTGTCATTTAAAAGTTGCGCGTTAGTTCTTACAATAAATTGGCAATTTTTTTCCCCGAGAGGAGGAAAACATTTATTTTGTAATCGGTTTACGGTAGGGATAGGTATGTGCGAAATGCCGGCACGGTTAGTGTTAAGTGCCGATTATAGTCGGCGCTCGTAACGAAAGGGTTGAAGGCAAGGTTGGTTGGCACGTGCAGGTACGCATGTCCGGCGGTGGAGGACACAGGTGGTAGCAAGAGTGGTAGCGAGGCACGCACAGTCACAGATCATCGGGCTGCACGGTACGTGCTCGCAAAGCGTGGCAATCGATGCTCGGGCACGTCCACCAGGACCCCCGAACCTCTCTCTCTCTCTCTCTCTCTCCAATCTGGCTGGCAGCCGCTAACCTGGCCAAACAACAGTCTCCAGATATACGGTATAAATTAAAGCAATTTGCATATGGCGTGCAGGTTTCCACGCTCCTCGGGCAGGAAATTTGCCAAGGTTGAAATTCGTTGGCCGGTCAATCAACCGGCTACTTGTCTACGTCTCTTAAAACACGCATTCTTTCGATGCGAAGCTTCCATTGCCTCGAGTCTTCTCGTTTCCTTTCGCGAGATGATTTTCACGAGGATACTCGAAAATTAGAGGAATTCAAGTTGTGAGAAAGTTTTCAACAAAACGAACGAAGCCCTTCCCGCGTGATTTCTCTTCGCCATTTTCTCGGAAAATCGAAGACTGCAGGAATTCAAATTATAAGAATTCATTTTTGAAAAATTTGAACTATCCACCAAGTGTTTTATTTAAAAAAGTGTTGATGAATGTTTGGAGAAGAATTCGAGAAATCGTTTCGTCACTAACCTAACCTAACCTAACTTAACATAACCTTCAATAAAATGGCGAAAATAAATCGTACGGCGAGTTTTAAGGGGAAATTCCAATTCTTCGAGACTATGTTGAATTTAGTCGAAGAAAGAATTTGTTTAAATCTTTTCATAATCAAAGTTTGAAAGTTTTTATAATTTTCGAGAAGAAAGTATCCTCACTTTCCCACCCGTTACATGATGCCAAGCCATCTTTGAAAGAAACAAACTTACGACTGTAAAGTGTCTTTAAGATGAGACCAATTTTAAATAGGTTAGAGTCATTTCATAAGACGAGTATGTACTGCACATGTATTTCTTTATTCCAACGTGAAAATTTTATAATTTCATATAAAAAAAAAAAGTGATAAACGCCTCAAAAATTTCATCATCTAGACGTTTTTTTTTTGGTGCTGTAGAAGACAACTTTTCTTCTCAGTTGTGAATTTTAAGTTTCAGAGTTCAAATTGTCATACCATAGTACTGGTATCTGAATGTATTCGTTCATGAATTGCACCAAAAAAAAAGAGAGAGAGACAGAGAAGAAAAAACCGTAATTATTTGACGTCGACGATCTTTGAAAAAAACAACGCCCCCAGAATGATCATTGATCATTCAACACCATAAGTGAAGTATTTTTGAAATATTTTTTTCTTCTTCTGTTGTGAAATTTATAAATGAAGAAAGATATTCGAGAGTCAGACTCAAGCGAGACACCCTATATTTATATATGCACCCCGTATTTTTAATATATATTTTATAGTATAATATACTATTATATAGTATTTATAGTTTTAGTACATTATTTATATACGTATATGTTTAAAGCGAACCTAGAATTTCAAGATCATATAATATTCGCGATGAAAAAAAAAAAAAAAGAAAAACAAAACGGTGAAAGAAAAAGAAAAAAGAAGAACATTCGATGAACTTTTCAAAAACGAATAATTCAACTATTTTCTCCCTCCTTTCAATAAAACAACAAGAGCGCTAGTTCGTGATCGTGAGATGCTCTTCTGCGTACTGCAGAACATTGATTACAAAACATATTTACACTCAGTCACGCATTTATTGTAAAACACATTTCGACGAGTAAGAAATATATTTCGAGGAGCACTGTATCGAAACATCAATATGAAGAAGAATCATCTGCTGTCTGGAGAGCGACAATTTTCGTGGAACTGGTCTCTTCACTATTTCGCGTTATGTAATCTCATTTACAATGAACGGTCGTAATTACACAGTTACCGGCGTGCCTCGCTCCACCGACAGTATTTACTTAACGTGATTGATAAACAGTCCCTTGATATTCGCAGCACTAGTAGTACTCTCGTGTTTCGATCTGGCGGTATCCTCCAGGGATTCGAGAACGCTTACCTCACACGTCACAGGGATGTGTCGTAGCTTGTGTGCAGGTACTTTACGAGCCACGTTCCACCGATGCCATTTATATCCTGGCTTATATTTTCTTTTCGCTTTGACTCGAAACGACGCCAACGTCTGAATTATTCGCGTCCCTCAGCGTCGAAATATTTCAGCCCTTCGTTCGAAAAGTGCTAATCCTCGATCAGAGTCCTGAATTATTCCCTTTATGTTCGTAAATATTTGCGGGCTTAGTGTACAAAGGATGTTTGGGGGGAATGAAGAATTATATATCCGGTGGTTTAAATCCGCAGAGTTGAATATCTTTTATATTTTATTATATTTATCATAGTCGGTGAAAAATATGGCAATCAGTGCGAAAGCGGGAATTTCTTCACTGTACACTGTCTCAACGCAGTGGAGGGGGTAGCGCTAGCGGTCAGTAGAGTGGGGGGAGAAGGCCGCCAGTTAGCCACCTGTGCCGTAAATAACGACGATACGTTAAAACTAGCGAACTTTTGCAGTAACGATGATACGTCAAATGCGATGACATGTCAAGATAGCCTTTCGCGATGATAAGTTCAATTTAATTTGATCTCTTCATCCGCGCGCGAAAGAAAAAGAGAAAAAAAGTAAAGGAAAGGAAGAGAAGATCCTCCTCCAGGATAATTATCATCGATGAAGTTTCATCAGAATTTTTCATCGGAAAAATCTTCCCGTGGACGCGCAGCGGCTGCTCGCCAGGGAAGTTTGCGACCGGTGTTCGAATTGGATTTAACGAAGTTTCTTGCCTGCCGCGTTAAAATTCAATCTTCCCCCGGCGCAAAGTATATCCGAGCTTTTTGTTTCACAGGGAAGTAATTAAAGCGGGATTTCGCGGCGAAAGCAAGCTGCGTGGGTAACAACGCAGCGAGGGGATAGAAAGCTCGGTGATTCGGTTTACCCGCCGTTTTGTACGTAGCTGATCGTACGTAACAGAACTACGGGATAAAAACGTGCTCTCCTCCTCCTCCTCCTTCGCCCCCCCTCTTCTATTCTTCTATTCTCCAAGTTTCTCTTCTCATTCCGTACCTGCGGCGCGCCGCAATACTCTCACACATTATCACCCTGTCAAATAATCCCGTCAAGTTGTGTGCGCTAAACTCGCAGCTAGAGATCGGTAGAAACGAGTAGAAATAAATAAATTCGCAATGACAATAGAAAAGAATTGCCGACAATTTAAACTAGCGTGAAACTTGGTAGAAGACCCACTTTTGACGATATTTTTCTTTTGTTAAGATTTGCGAAAAATTTTTTGTCACGATTGCCTTATTTGACTGAACGCTAACGGGATCATCGTCTTTCGACGCTGGATCTGGCACGCAGTTTTAATAATGGAGCCAGCGTGCCATCTGTCTTTCGAGCAGCGTGCCACTGACAGCCGAAGGCACGAGGCTGTTCGTTCCTCGAGACGAGAACGAAACAAAAAAAAAAAACAAGCGACAGGGCAAATAATAAAATAAAGGAAAGAGGCCGTGGCACGCTCGGATAACTGTGACTACAATAAATCTGTCAACGTGGTAAAATATGCATCCGGGGAGAGAAGCGTCGCGTCCCGCGCAATCAGAGCGCGAGCCCGGAACAAATGTACCCCGCCGAGCGAATGGTTATCGGAAAATAGTTTCGCGGCTTTAAATCGTAACGTTTCTCGTTCAAGGACTTTCCGATCCTCCACCAAGGATTCCACGATATTACCACCGCGGAGATTTCGTATCTGTGCGATATCTCGGATAATTGTGGCCAGATGAATCAAGGATTTTCTTTCTTGACGAAGTCACTGTACAACTGGAGGAATTTCTTCTTCCGGTCCTTGTCTGGTGAGAAGTGAGAAGTAATCGAGACGGTGAAAAACTAGATAATTCAAACTTGATGTAATTTGATAAGGAAAGATCACGCGACGATTCGTTCAAAGCACAAGACTTGAAGCTTTCGTTTTGATTACTGGACGAGTTCATTTTTTCTTTCTCTTTCTCTTTCTTTTTTTTGAGAGTGATTTTACATTGTGTAGCAGAGTGAGGATGTGTCGAAAATATTAGACAATTTTTTTCACAACTATATTTACACATGGTGTGGAAGCAATGTCACTGGATTGTACAAAGTACAAACAGTCGAACAATATCAATGTGTGACGATGCTTTCGCTCGCTTTCTGCACGCGAAGATTTCAATTTGTACGAGCATCCAATGAAAACTAGCATGCAATATTGTCTAATTTTATATAATCTGCCGATTATTCTTTAACACTAGAACTAACTAACGACGACTAAAGTATTGGGTTAAATAAAAAGTAATTTCGTACTTCGCGGGCAAATATCGTTGATAGGAAGTATTTGAAACAATCTTCATTCAATATCTCACTATATGTGTTTTTGAAAGAGGTTATGTTCTCCTGTTTTAGACTACCATTCGTTATATTATATTCAGT